GGGACAGGGGCCAATTGTTCAGGGGATTAGGCCAGGGAAACCCAGGACTCCCCCCCCCCCCCCGCCCTCCCCCCGATACGATCGGTCCTGTGGGAACAATGCTCGCCTGAAATTTCTCGTGAGCGGGAGGACTTCTTCTTGGTTTTTCCTCCCGTGGAGGGCGCCGTGGCTTTGGCGGCGGCGGGGATGCGCGTCTTGTGTTTGAGGGCTTCCTTCCTGAAGTCGAGAAACCAGTCGGAGCGGTCGATGGTCTTCCCGTGGCCCCGGTAGCAGGAGTAGAGGGCGCAGAGGTCGAGCACGGGGATCTCCTCCGACATGCTCCGCCTGCGGAGGGCGCGGCGGACAGGGTTGTTTGTCTCACTTTAGTTCACGCAATTTTTCAAAGCGAACAAACATAAAAAAACGCGGGAAAAAATGCTCGACATCGACACGCACCGTCGCCGACAATCCATGGAAGAGAAACATAAGCCAGAGCCGACATGCGTCACACATAAAAAAGCGAAGAAGAGACAGAGCACGAACCGACAGATATCTACCTGTCACAAGGCACATAAAAGAAAACTCCCCGGAATCGAATATGTGTATCCGTCACAGAAAAAGGGGATAAATTTACCCCGAATCGGCATGTCTCTACCTGTCACAGACGTAGAAAAAAGGAGAGAAAATTATCCCGAATCGACATGTATCTACCTGTCACAGATAAAAACCGGATAAAATTGCCCCGAACCGACATGTATCTACATACCTGTCACAGACAAAGCGAATGCTGACTGAGTGACTGACCTCGGGAGGATGACTCGAGAAGAAGTAAAACCACGGAATAGAGAAAAAATACCCCGAATCGACATGTAACCGTCACAGACAAACTGACCTCTGGAGGATGACTCGAGAGGATCCCTTGCAGGCGCCCTCCATCATACCGAGGTCGACGTTGGCGCGTGCCAGGGGACAAAGAGAGCTCTCGATGGCATCCTTTTCCTTCTCGTCGCAGCAGTACGCCTGTGGACGGGCGTCGACCAAGGGAAACGGCAAGTCAAATACACACAAGGACAGGATTAAAAAATACGGGAATTCCATGGAACTCCACGGGACTCCATGGAACACCCAGACCTCCATGGGACGGGCGTCGACCAACGGAAACGGCAAGTAAAATATAAAACAAAGGACGTGATTAAAAACAAGGGAATTCCATGGAACTCCAAGGGACTCCATGGCACACCCAGACCTCCATGGGACGGACGTCGACAAACGAAAAAAACGGCGAAGAAAGTCAAGGTTAGAACAAAAAAAATCACATTGTTGTCTTGTCAGCGCGGTCGACGCCGATTCCGGCATCGTACCGGCTACCGGCGCTACTCAACAGGCACTAAACAAGAACTTCTTCGGCGGCTGTAAGTGTGTGTACATGTATACATACCTCGGCGAGAACGCAGGCGTGCTCCGCAAGGGGACGGGGGGACGGGGGATAACATGCCCGGCCCAGGTGAAACAGCCCACAGTTATAGTCTGAATGACTTGATTTCTAGTGTGTATGCGTACCTCGGCGAGAACGGAGGCGTGCTCCGCAAGGGGAGGGAGGATACCATGCCCGGCCCGATTGAAACAGCCGACAATAATGGTCTAAATGACTTCATTCTAGTGTGTATGCGTATCTCGGCAAGAACGGAGGCGTGTTCCGCAAAGGGTGGGGGGGGGGGGGGGGGC